TTGAAATATAAATCTATTTATATTTCAATGGTATGTTTTCAGCCTTGAATTCCTAAAATAGAATCTCTCTACGCTTATTCTTTAACAAAGACATTTTATGAAAACGAAAGAGATTTAATTCTTTTATTAATACAAAAGTATTTACTTTTTGTATTACATATATATATATATATATATGATTATTCAGAGAAAGGTTCAATTTTGTGTCTGATTTCGCAGCTTAATAATTAGCACTAATTAATTAGCATGTTTGAGGTCACCCCTAGAAACCATTAAGATTGACACTTAGTTCGTGAAAATCCGATCATTAGAACGAAAGTTATTCAGGGTGATATCTTTTTTTTTTTACCTTCTGGCAATATAAATTCTTTTGATACAAAATTCTCCAAATTATTTTTACTACCAAAAGAAATTCCTACCAAATTTAATAATAAAATATATTTGTAAAAATCAAAATTATTTTGAGAAATAATCAATCTCCAACAATAGAGAGTTCAAAAGACGACATACATTCTTCAGTAAATAACGACGTTAAGTTACTTACGCAACTACACGTACGCTATAAAATGCAGTTGATTAAAACTTTTTATTACATTTATTAGCCAATAACATAAACACTTATTTGTCTTTGCTTTATTGAAAAATAATAGTTTATTTCAAAGAAGCTTATCTAATTGCGTAGTGAAAAATGTATCTAAGAAAGTCAGAAGTAAGAGTTAGAGCGTGAAAGAAGTATATTAAAATAGTGCGAATATTTGATAAAATCATTACGATAACATTAATCTGTGTATAATAAAAAAAATTTTATATTCTCGTTGCCAAGGATATAAAAAAAAGACAACAAGGATTGGTAAAACACTTAGGAAGTGGAAATCTAGCAGCACCTTTAAGTAAGTCAATTTTATATTCGATATTTTAATAAATACTCATAAATATTTTTCCATGTTTAATGTGTAATAACACATAAATTTAACGTTACTTAATAGTCCTCAAAAATAGTACCGGTAAAATTTTTTAATTTATCAAACACATCTTTTCATGGTTTGAAGTACACTTCTAATAAGCTGATTATTTTTAAATTTTGCGTGTTTGTTCATAGTACCAGTACTAATAACTTTATCAAAAAATTCTCCTATCAACTTTTTAAAATAGTTTGCATGAATAAAATTCTAAGCAGAAATTAAAAAAATTTATATTTAATTGTTATTTTATTACTTAAATATAATATTTAAGTATAATTTAATAATTATAATTTAAAAATTATTATTCATAATTATTGAATAAATTTTTATTGAAATGTATCCTTACCAATATTTAAGTGTATCGCTAAAATATTTAATTATAATTCAATTTTTATAATTTTAACAATAAGAACTTAATAATTATTATTCAATAATTATAATTTAATAATTATAGAATACATTTGTATTGAAATGTATAGTTACATCGGGTTACTTTTGCTACTTTTAAATTTCTAGAAAAGCTTTCATGTTTTCTTTAGTTATAGAGAAGAAAAAATTACCATATTTGAGAATAGGGTTCAAGAATTGATATATGTTTTTTAAGTAAATTTTCCTTTCTTCCCCTTTCAGCTAAGTTTAAAAGTGTGTTTGCTAAAGTTACCTCATCAATCGGAGTAACTTAAGACTTCACAGTTATCCTCGGGAAACTGTGGTGGCTTTTTCTAAGAAGTATAGAAACAATCACAGTTTAAGTGCTTTACACTTCGAAGCAAGTCTAGAATTTGATATCGTTAATTCGGCTAGGTTTTTTTACTTAGTTAAAAATTATCGAAACAAATTAATGATTTTCACTTTTTGTAAATTTTTATAAGTCTATATAATGTAGTATTGGGAAAATGTTTTGAATATTAAAAAAATTTGATCTCAGAAGCTTACACAAAACCATGGCGCGACTTAATATTGACATTTTGTGTTATTTTCATAATCAGCATAGATTTAAAGATGAACTGAGCTTGACACATTGTTGACTGGTGACGAGTTAAATCGTCATTGTAGCAATATCGTTTGGACAGGAAATCGATATTTAGAATGTTTTATTTTACTTCCATATTCAATTATAAATAATAAAAATTGAGATGACCATAGTTTCTGCATAAAATATCTGATCAACAATATCTGATCAAATTTTTGATAGTCAAAAATATCTTTTATAAAGTCGTTAAAGTTATGAAAAATAGCATAATGCTTGCTGAAATGCGATGATGGAGCCATAATGACAATTTTAAAAAAGGTAATTAAGTTTAAATATTCAAAATAGTAAAATTTAAAATAAAATTAAAAACAAATCATAAGAAAAATGAGTTTAAGATACCGATCTTAGCTCTTTATTCCTGAGCACTTGTCATGTATTTAATCAGTTATACTATTTTTCATTTTAACAGATAAATTTTGTAACATAAATGAAAAGAAGGCCAAAAGAAGACAATAATGATTAGAGCAGAACTTTTTTTGTTGTTTGCCATTACTTTATTTGCAATGGTAGTTGGACATAGCGGCATCGGGAAGCCAATTCGAACCCCTGCACCCGACGAAGGAATAGGTCGTAAGTATCTGTTTTTGATTTTTAACTAGGTAACTTAAAGTTTTGAACATTTTGCTAATGACGTTTGATTTGATTGATTGACTTTTATTGTGTTTTATATTAAGGGTGCACAACCTTTTTGAGTGAAGCACCACATGCACAGCATTAACGAAGGGCCGCACACATGTTTAATCATGTTATCTGCAAATAAGATAATATTTATATAAAAAGCAGTTGCATCTAAGTAGTTTTTTGCACTTAATACCACAGTTTTAATTAGCAATTTTTTACACTTAATAACATATTTGCAGAAAATTAAAAAGTACTTTTGATTATTTGAATCTATTTAAAAATGAAAAAACTGATACTTTTAAAAAACTTTCATTTTACACAATAATTAAGTTTAAAAAAATACAATCTCTCTCTGTATATATATATATATATATGTAATACAAAAAGTAAATACTTTTGTATTAATAAAAGAATTAAAACTTCATTCCTTTTCATAAAATATCTTTAGTAAAGGATAAGGGTAGAAATTCTATTTTGGGACTTCA